TGGATTCGAACCCACCACCTTAGGTGTATGTGGCTGGCGCCTTAGCCACTTGAGCTACAGGCGCCAAGCCAGGACCTGGTTCTAAGCTTCAAATAGCTTCTTCAAGGAGGAGCCAGAGGGTTCTAGGTAGATAAAGATGCTCAAGGCAGGTCTCAGCCCCAAAGGGCAAGCAGACCCAGATGGCCACAGTCTGGGTCTTAGGCCTTGGCTTATTTGGCAGGAAAATGTGTACATGGCTGTCACTGAGCTGGTACATGCAGTGTGACTGCCCCCATGGTTGACACATTGCATTGTTACTTTATTAGTTGGTAAAAAAAAAAAAGAAAAAAAAACCTCTTCCCAAGTCCCTAGATGTTACCACAATTCAGCAAGAGTGACCACCACAAGGATCTCTGATGTCTAGGTCTAAACCTTGCTGCTAATTGTTCTGGGTAATATTTCCCTGCTCCGTGGGCTGGAGTGGGTGAGGAGTGGCCAGACCCTGATGGAAAAGAACAGGTGGCACGTACTGGGCCTCAGCTATCCCGGGAGGCAGAGAAGCCCCTGGCATTTAGAGGGGTCAGGCCTCTATCACCCTGCACAAGCCCCATCGAGATGACAGACAGGAACATCTTTGAGGAGCACAGACAGGTGCTTCCAGACCCTGGGGGAGGCCCGAGACTTAACTACCCAGTCTCTGCAGTTCCACCAGGCACGGTCTGCAGGACAGTCAGGTCTGGTGGAAAAACCTAACCAGGTGATGGGGCAGACGGCTCAAGGAGAGGTCAGAGGTCAGAGGTAGTACACTTTATTGACCGGGTTCTCCCAACATTTCACAATCCCTGGCAAAGCCAGACCCTTGGCTTCCACCAAACAGGGAAGAGAGCGCAACTCACAAACATCCAGAGGGCCTCCAGATAGCAGTGCGGCAGGGTGGGCGTTGGGGAGAGAGGCTGCCAGCCAGTGTGGGGGGCGGGGGTGTCAGGCAGGGCCAAGGGGCTAAAGCTCTGGGTACGAGGCTGTCGACACCCCTGAGGCCCCGCCAACCCCTCACTCCCCCAGTTGAGGTGCACAGTGGTTCACAGTGACACTGGCTTAGATCGGCAGGGCAGTGGGGTGAGGCAGACAGATGCTATCCACTCTTCCCCCCACCCCCTTGGCCCAACTTGGGGAACTGAGAAGAGGGAGATGGGAAGTTCCGTCCCTTGTGTCTCTGGGACAGGGAAGCCCCTTCTCTGGATGGGCAAAGGTAGAGGCCTAGTTCTTTCCTGACATTCCCTAGGCTATTAGGAAGGGCCATTTGCTCCTGGCTCAGAAATTTCTAGAACATTTTGGTGGCTTTGCCCACCATTACTCCCAATTAGAAAAGTGATTTTTGAAATCTAGGAGTTGACTGGGGTGCATCAAACCAAGCAGTAAAAAACCTGGTCAGGTTTAAGTTTAAAAATGTAGCTCTACCTTTGTGTAGGAGCCTGGGGAGGTCAGTGGAGGGGCCTGTGGTACTGTGGGGCAGGTGGGCCTGGGGGCACAGGGAGCGAACCAGGGACAAAATGCAGGAAGCGGTCATCTGTGGGACGTGGCAGGTTGCCCTCCAGTGCTGTGGGCCTAGGCTCAGAGGGCAGCTGGGGGCTGTCAGGGCCCCCCACGGGCACATTTGCCAGATGGGCACCAGGGCCTCTGTCCCACCACAGGAAGCAGGGGCTGTCAGTCAGGCCTTGTCACTGCTATTGTCTGGTGACTCCTTGTTGCTGGCCGTATGGTCTGAGGTGGGCTCGAGTCCCAGCATCTGCCGTTGTACCAGCTTGGCGTAGAGGCCGCCCTGTGCCAGCAGCTGCTGGTGGGTGCCCTGCTGCACCACGCGGCCCTTGTCCAGCACCACGATGAGGTGCGCCCGCTCCACGGTGCTCAGCCGGTGCGCGATGATGAGCACTGTGTGCTTCTGCAGGTTGCCGTGGATGGCCTGCTGGATCTGGAGGGACAGTGTGGCGGGGTAGCTTGCAACACATGGCATGGCGCTGGCCACCCACAATCCCACTCAGTGCTGTCACCTATAAGCTAGCCTCATTTGTAAAACCAGGGCTGGAATGGACCTGTTCCCTGGGGGTTTTTTTGTTTGTTTATTTGGGATTCATTGAGGCTACAAAGAATTAGGTTACACTGCTTGTGTTGTTAGGTAAAAGTCCCTCTTTTGTTTGTATGTGGGTGTGTGTGTGTTTTAAGGGAGACAGAGTTCAGGGCCTCACGGGAGGGAGGTACACATCAAAGGGGAGATGAGCCCCTAATTTGGTCTTCTCACCTGGCTCCTTCTCTAAACTTTGCCCACGTCACCATCAGCCTCAAAGTTCAGGCCAACAAATCCCTCAATTGCTCATCTTTGTCTTCCTACCCAGATCCACTTCATTAGCAAATCCAGTAGTTTGTGTCTCCTCCCTTCTGTTTTTCCCTTTGTATCTTCTCACCTGGTATCTCCAACTTTCCTTTTTTTTTTTTGCATTTTTGGCTGGGGCTGAGCTTGAACTCACCACCCCCGGTATATGGGACTGGCGCCCTACTCCTTGAGCCACAGGCGCCGCCCACCTCCAACTTTCCTGACCTGGCCCCTTATCCATTCCCCACATAGATTTAAAATTATTTATTTATTTTGTTTATTTGTTTGTTTTTGAGACAGAGTCTCACTATGTCACCCTTGGTAGAGTGCCGCGCATCACAGCTCACAGAAACTTCAAACTCTTGGGCTTAAGCGATTCTCTTGCCTCAGCCTCCTAAGAAGCTGGGACTACCAGTGCCCTCCACAATGCCCAGCTATTTTTTGGTTGTAGTTGTCATTGTTGTTTGGCAGGCCCGGGCTGCATTCAAACCCGCCAGCTCTGTTATATGTGGCTGGCGCCCTACCTGCTGAGCTACCGGCACTGAGCCATGGATTTAAAATTTTTTAATCAGTTCTTGTTAAATTCCTGCTCCAAACGGTCTAAGAGCTTCTTATCCCACTTAGGATAAAATCTAAACTCCTAGGAAACTTTTAGGACAGTATAACTATTCTGTGTGATATTGTGATGGTATCTAAAAAATAAAGTCTTAATTTTTACAAAAAACTCAAACTCCTTCCTAGGGCCTGTGAAGTTTGTCTCCCTATGACTGTGTCCTCACCTTTCTCTCTTTAGCCTCCACACACCAGTCATGCTTTTTATTTCTTTAATTTTTTTTTGTTTTGAGACAAAGCCTCAAGCTGTTGCCCTGGGTAGAGTGCCATGGCATCACAGCTCACAGCAACCTCCAACTCCTGGGCTAAAATAAAGCAAGTCTCCTGCCTCCACCTCCCAAGTAGCTGGGACCACAGGCACCTGCCACAACGCCTGGCTATTTTTTGGTTGCAGCCATCATTGTTATTTGGTGGGCCTGGGTTGGATTCGAACCCACCACCTTAGGTGTATGTGGCTGGCGCCTTAGCCACTAGAGATGGTGTCTTGAGATATATTGCCCAGGCTGGCCTCAAGCAATCCTCCTGGCTTGGCCTTCCAGAGTGCTGGAATTACAGGTGTGAACAACTATGCTCCACCTCATTCTTACCTTTCTGCTTGGCTTTGAACTTGTCAAGTTAATTCCCTGTTCTAGGCCTTTGCACCCACTGACCCATCTTCCTAGGATGCTCTTACCTCCAGAACATTCCATAGCTGGCTTTTATATTTCTAAGACAGGGTCTCAGTCTGTTGCCTTGGGCTAGACTGCTGGCAACCTCAAACTCCTGGGCCCAAGCCATCCTCTTGCCTTAGCCTCTTGGCTGAGGAGCACTACTGTAGGTGCCTATTGCCATACCTGTATACTTTTTGCTATTTGTTTATTTATTTTTGAGACAGAATCCTACTTTATCATCCTTTGTAGAGTACTATGGCATCACAGTGCACGGCAACCTCAAACTCTTGGGCTCAACCTCCCATGTAGCTGGGACTACAGGTGCCTGTCATAAGGCCCGGCTATTTTTTTCTTTTTTTTGAGACAGAGTCTTACTATGGGGCCTTTGGTAGAGAGCTGTGATGTCACAGCTCACAGCAACCTCAAACCCTTGGGCCAGCCAGCAGTTCTCAACATGTGGGTCGAGACCCCTTTTTAACAATGAAAATACATTGTGGTATTAGGAAGGTTGAGAACCACTGGCTTAAGTGATTCTCTTGCCTCAGCCTCCTAAGTAGCTGGGACTACAGGTGCCCACCACAACACCCAGCTATTTTTTGGTTGTAGTTGTCATTGTTGTTTAGCAGGCCCAGGCCAGGGTCAAACCCACCAGCATTGGTTATGTGGCCGGTGCCCTACTCACTGAGCTACAGGTGCCAAGCTAAGTTTTTCTATTTTTAGTAGAGACAGGGTTTTGATCTTGTTCACTGATCTTGAACTTTTTTTTTTTTTTTTTTTAGAGAGAGAGTTTCATTTTATCGCTCTGGGTAGAGGGCTGTGGCATCATAGCTCACAGCAACCTCCAACTCCTGGGCTTAGGTGATTCTCTTGCCTCAGCCTCCCAAGTAGCTGGGACTACAGGACTTTCCTTTTTTTTTTTTGCATTTTTGGCTGGGGCTGAGCTTGAACTCACCACCCCCGGTATATGGGACTGGCGCCCTACTCCTTGAGCCACAG